CCGTGGCTATAAAGGGTGCTCTGGAACTGTGCCCAGCTTGCCCAAGTGCACTGTCAGGAAGCCATCCCTCATGGTATCCTTAAAAGGTAACATGGCTTTTCCAAGTCTTTCCAGCCTTGCCAAACCTCTGACAGCTTCCCCACAACTAGAAAATGCTATGGTTTCCTCCTCTCCCCACTTTCCACAGAGATCACATCAACATCCCACCACCTCAAATAAAAATGCTTCTTCTCCTGGACCCACGTTTCTTTTTCCCAGCCCAGTCAAGCTCATCTGGGGCGTTCATCCTCTGGGCTGAGAGCTATTCTACAGGTGGTACTCTGGACTGGACAAGAAGGCCGTCCTCTGGCTTTGCCCTTTTGCACTGAGCAAGGAGGTGGACACAGGAAGTGTGTCTACCCAGCACTGTGGCTTAGACTTTGAGAACATACTCTGGGTACAGGGGAACTCAATCTCTTGCTGAGTTGAGTTTATACCTCTTCAGGGCCTCTGAGGGCCTTGTTCCTGGGTCTAATGCATCTGTCCAAAGTCTTAAAGGGTAGTCAGCAGGAGGCTGTTTGTCGGCCAGGGCAGAGGATGGGTGAAGCTTAGATGCACGGGTCGTATTTCTATCCATGTCCACATGTAGTGATGGTGTGAGGAGCAAAGGGCTCGTGGTGCTGGGAGGGCTTTCTCTAGGTTACCATATGTAGGGCAGAACTCCAAGGAATTTGAGCATTCAATTCCAACTCTTACCCAGATGGTTGGTTTTAATAGTAACTTGCCACAAATTAGAACTACCTGAGTAGGGAGCCTCACCTGAAGAATTGTCCTGATTGCCTTAATTAAAATGGGAAGACCCACTCCCAGTGTGGGTGACATCTTCTGGCTGTGGCCTAGAGAGAATGGAACTTGACAGAAGGCAGATTATTCACCTTTGGCTTGTTTGGCCTTCCTTCTCAACACCAACTTGCTATATCCTGTTGTTTCTGCTACTGACTCCTTTGCTGAGTCGAAGCCAGTGTTTTTTGGCTTCTGTCACTGACTGAGGACCAACAGCTCATCATATACCCTCAGGTTTTGGGCACCAGATTGGGACTGCTGAGGCACCAGCCCTGTGGACTGATTGGGGTCTCAGTCTCTCGGGTTTGATTCAATTGTTACAATTTCAAAGTAAGCTGAATAATAAATTTTTTTTTCTCAGAGCTGAGGACCGAACCCAGGGTCTTGTGCTTGCTAGGCAAGCGCTCTACCACTGAGCTAAATCCCCAACCCCAATAAATTCTTTTAATATATGTATTCACTCTGCAAATTCTGTGCCTCCACAGTACCCTAATGCACTCAAGTTATCTTCCAGGGTGGAAGATAGAAATTGTTTTATTTTATAGTTTACTAGCCTGGTGTGTACATTTAAATATCAAGGCATGGGGGCTGGAGAGATGGCTCAGCAGTTAAGAACACTTGATGTTCTTGCAGAAGACCCAGTTCGAATTCCAGCACCCATATGTCAGCTAACAACTGTCCCTAACTCCAGTCCCAGGGGATCTGACAGCCTCTTCTGACCTCTGCGGGCATTGCATGTCACAGGTACACTTATCTACATGCAGGCAATACATGCATACACATAAAATTAAAATAATGAATAAAAATAAGTAAGTATCAAGGCATATGGTAAGTAGACTCCGTGTAGTATTACCCTGGACCCTGCAAAGTTTAGGGTCAGGCCTAGTTTCAATATCAATCTCTTGCTCTCCCTTCCTCCTTCCCTCCTTCCCTCCCTCCTTTCCTTCCTCCCTCCTTCCATCCCTCCTTTCCTGAATTTATTTACTTATTTATGTAGATATTAAGATTGGATGTAGGGCCTCATGCATACTAGATAAGCTTTATCATCAAAGTCTATCCCAGTCCCACGTGGCGTGTGTGTGTGTGTGTGTGTGTGTGTGTGTGTGTGTGTGTGTCTGTGTGTTGCTGTAGATTAAGCCTGGGACTTTGTGAACACTAGGCAAATGTTCTATCATTAATCAGATTTTTAAATATTTCCATTTATAAATTGAGAAATAAGCAACTGTGAGAGTGAAACACCCCGCCCCCTGCCCAAGCTCTCTTCTAGATACTAATTCTTCTAACGATGAGGCATTCGTAGATTATCACTTATCACTAAGGGGCCGAAATGCTCCGAGAACAATGACAAAGTGCTCAAATGAGGCTACCACACACACAGGCCTTTACCTCATAGGCTCTTTGGTCTGTGATGGAGGAAACACAGGCTACCTTGGAAAGATGCCTCAGAGAGGTATTCCAAGATTGAGGGATGCTCTCATGCTCCTGAGAGAACCATGGCTTATCTCAGAGGGGACCTGTCAGCTTCTTATTGCAGTGGGCTTCCTTTTGGCTTCGTGTCCCCATAATTCAGAGTACACAGTGCTCTTCTGCTTCTTGTGGTGCTGGACTTGGCAGCTTTTAGGATCTGGGATGCAGCAGCTTCAAGGTTTCTTCCCATTATCAAGGAGTCTCTTATCAGCCATTTTTAAGTGACAAGCAGTGACTTGCATGCTTCATTCGGGTTACCAAGATAAAATGCACAGCCTGTCTCAGCCAGAGCGTCTGATCCTGAATATCCTCTGTGTTTCCTGAGATTTTTGAGAGACAACAAACCAGGCACTCTATGTCTCAAATAATATGGGGTAGCTTAACAAGTACATTATGTATTTGTAATCTGTAAGTCTTAACTGGGATCAGGACACCACTTAACTGGTACACTCAGTCATGTCCCCAGCATGGCAGGGAGGTTCCAGCAGCCTTTGCTAACAGAAACATGGCACAATGAGGGACCCATGAGCTGCAGGTACCAGCCAGGAGGCTTCAGAGGAGGCTCATATAAGGGTACATCTTGAAGTAGAGGGACACACCTTACAAATTCGCAGGGATAACAGGAGTCTGGAGGAAACTCAGCTAGCTGAATATGACTCATCGGTGTTCACTGATCCATCCCAATGTATATGGTAACGTGTGAGCTGCATGGTTCGGTGAGGTGTGTGGAGTCTCCCCATGTGTTGAAAATGGGCAGTGACCAGGGCTTCCATGGTGGATGCAGAACCTGTTTCTGGCCAGTCCTCTGTCCCTTTATCCTCGTGTTCTCTGTTGCTGCCATCTCTTGACACTCTGCTGCTCAGTCCTTGAGGACTCTGGCATCTTCACAGGGAGCTGATGTCCAGCTGAGAAGACAGAACCTCTTCTTCCACAGCAGACTGGGCTTCTCTGAGGACAAGAACTGAGAGTCTTCTTGTTCCTTCTAATCTCCAGAAGAGCCTGATTCAAACACAGCTTCTTCTGATGACACTTGGGAAACTTCTTTGGTTTTGTTTTTGGTTATTTTGAGGCAGGTCTCACTGTGTAGCCCTGGCTGTCCTGAGATTCTCTATGTAGAACAGGATGTCCTCAAATTCTCAGAGATCCACCTGTCTCTGCTGCAGTTAAAGGCATGTGTCACCATGCCTGGTGCCTATGAAACTTTATAAATGTGTATCTTCAGGTGGATTTGACTCTATAACATTTTGTTTTTTAATATTTTATTTATTTTTATGTGTATGAGTGTATTCCTTACAAGTATGCACCCATGTCATGCAATGCCCTTGGAGGTCAGAAGGCAATGTTAGTCGCCATGTGGATGCTGGGAATCCAATCGGGTCCTCTGTAAGAGCAGTCAGTTCTCTTAACCGCTGAGCCATTGCTCCAGCCCCTCTATAACATATTCTGAAAGACCTGTAGTAGCATTACAAAGTATTTGGTAAAAGAACTGTCAAAGGGACAGTAGAGTTTACAAAAGCAGAAGACAAGAGGATGGTCATGTTGTAGATTCTGAGAGAATTTCAGGAAGAAAGCAATCAGATGAGATCAAGACTGAATTTAGTAACTGGAAGCCAAATGGCAGTGCATCCACTTGTCTGACTTAAAAAAATATTTTATTATTATTATTATTATTTATTTGTATGAGTGTATTGCCTACATGTAGGTGGTGCACCCCTAACTCACAGAGATCCGCCTGCCTCTGCCTCCCAAGTGCTGGGACTACAGGCGTGCGCCACCACGCCTGGCTTAATATTTTATTATTTTTATTTTATGTATATGAGTGTTATGCCTGCAAGTATGGAAGTGCACTTGTGTCGTGCAATGCCTGCGGAGGACAGAAGAGGCTGCAGGATGCCCTGGAACTGGAGTTACGGACATTTGTTAGCTGCCACGTGGGTGCTGGGACCAACCAGGTCTTCTGCAAGAACAACCAGTGCTCTTAACCACTGAGCCCTCTCTCCAGCCCCAGTCCTTGTCTGACTTTTATATTTAAACTTAGAGCCCAGCAGGATGCCCTGTGCTCAGTGTCCTCAAAGAGTTATTCAAAATTCAGACAGAGGAGCTTATTGGAAATAGAATTTGAACTGAGGCAAAATAGATGGTCTCCAAACAAAGAACTAAGCACTCCAAGGAGAAGAACCAATGGTAGCAAAGGACGATGAGTTAAGAGACCAGTGTACGGAAGGAAACCGAATGCATCCCTGGCAGGAGCACAAAGAACTAATTGTTGGGAATGAAACAAAAGAAGAGCATGCGGCTTGGTTATTAAGGACTTGATACGCAAACTGAAAAGCTACCTGGCTTCCATCCTGAGGATAAAAGGGCCCTGTGCATAAGAAAGTTAAGTGCTACAGTCAGATTTGTAATTTAAAAGCCTGTTCTGGCAGCCGGTGGGAGAGATGGCCTGGAGTCAAGGATGGCTTAGGAAATGATGGGGGCTCAGACTTCCGCATGGAGACTGTCACAGGGATCCCTACGCATAGATGGATTCACTATGGCAGGAGCAGTGACGGGAGAAAGGTAGGTAGGGTACCAGAAAAGGCTTGCTTGGGTGACTGGCTGGTTAGAGATGCAAGGAAAAGCAGATTTAGGTGAGGACAGGGGTGGAGAAATGGCAATCAATCAAATACCCAGATACATATGTTGCTGTAGCTTCTAAGTTGCTGTTGTAGGGATTCACTCGTTTATTTACTACATCCACACATACTATGATGCACCAATAAATTGCAAGTTACTGCAACTGCAGACAACTGATAAAAGCCTGTCCCCAGGTGGAAGACACAACTGGCTCTCATCTGAGATTACATTCTAGCACGATCCAAAAGACAAATCACCCAGTTAGAAACCACTGAGTTCGAGATACTGTCACAAAGGTTCTGGAATATAAGGCATCGAGCTGCAGACGTTAGTTTTCCATCTGTGACCTCCCTGAAATCTAAAGTTTTGCTGATGGCATGCATTTGGTGAAGAGCGTGAGGAATGCTTCCAGGAAGTAGTCTTGGACTTCTAAAAGGTTAAGAACACCTCAAACTCTGGTCTGGTGCGGATACAGAAACTTCTTGGTAGGAAAGCAGCAACAAGGCCGGTAAACTGCTTGGCAATCTTCTTATTGCACAGATAACGAACTTCCTTCCCCATCAAGAAGGGCACAACGGCACTTCCCTGTAATATCGGAATTTATGAGACAGATGCATTGAGGATTAGGAGTCCCAGGCCAGCCTGAGATACATGAGATCCTTTGGAAAAAAAAAATTCAATCTTGATTTAACGTGAGAAAAAGGAACATGCTTATTAATATTTTTAAATGTAGTTATTGGCTAAGTGTGGTGCACACGACTTCAATCCCATAACCCAGATGGCAGAGACCAGCCTGGTCTACACAGAGCTCCAGGCCAGCCAGGACTACATAGAAAAACATTATTTTAACGTAGTTATTAAAACATCAGATGTTCACGACCCTGCAGACACGAGCCCCACGGCCCAGGTCCAGCTGCAGCTACGCCCTGCGACTCCGCCCGACCCGGAAGAACACTTCCAAGCTCCGCCTCGCAAGAAGACCGAGAGCAGTTCCCGATATCAGCCAGGGTTTTTCCGCCAATCCGGAAGTAACCGGCAGCCGGAAGTTCCGGGCCGCCGTGGGAACGCGGTGGGGGTGGGGAGCCGCGGGGGACCCGGGACAGGATGGCGGCTCAAATCCCCATCGTAGCTGCCACTTCCACTACCGCCGTAGCCCGGAACAGCAAGAAGAGGCCGGCCAGCCCTTCCCACAACGGCAGCGGAGGGGGCTACGGCTCTGGCAAGAGGAAAAAGCTGTCCGCCTCTGGCTTTGCGCAGGTACGCTTCCGCTGAGCAAGCCTCTGTGGAGCCGAAAGCGCATGCGTGGACCCGTGAGTCTCCCGAGGGCGCATACGCGGGGCGGAGCGGAGGCTGGGGCGGCACATGCGCAGTGCCAGTGTGTGTGGGGGTGCGCCTTCTCTCGGGGGACGGCCACAGTAGACTCTTTGCCCATTGGAAACGCGTGTTTTGACCCATACTTCGGACGTGACTTTGTTTAGTCCCCGGCGTTACTTTGTAAAGTGGGGGATTTTAATGGCCGGCGGTCTACAGGACTTCCGCTTCTGTCTCTAAAGCTGGCGAAATGCAAAGGTGGAAGGTGGATGTTCCCCTCCGCGTCCTCATCCTTAGGAAGTGCCATCTGGGATCCCTGCGTTCCATCCTGACGTAGATCTGGTCTGTTATCTGTGCCAAGTGATTGGAATGGGACGATGAAGAAGCACTGAGCACAGCGTGTGGCACACAGACCAGTTAGACCAGCGGGGACTCGCCGGCAGAGATGCATGCCTTTGCTTGATGCTGCACCCTAGGCACAGCTCGAGGTCCAAGATGGGAGGGTTGTGCTCAGTGCCCGGTGTGGTTTGCTCTGTGGCCTTCCCAGAACCGTCGTCACTGCATTAATAATTGACACGCCCTCCACCCACTTTTAGTACTTTATTGGGGGTTATGTTTGCATACAATAAAACACACGAACCACGTTTATTCTCCAGATAAGCTAGCATTCCGAGAGGCCCTGACGTTCCCTTTGACTTTGTCCTCTTGCCTCAGCCTTCCAGTTCTGACACAAAGCTCTTCCCGCCCTACCAGAGATAACTGCTGTTCTGCCATCTCCTACGTTAATTAGCTGTTTTCAAACGTAATCTAAAGGGAATCTTACTGACATGTTTTTGTCTTCGTCCCTCAGTCCGTGTGTCGTGCCCCCCCCCCCTCCGTACTGTTGTAAAACAGTGGTTTTTGTTTTCTTGGGACGAGGAAAATATAACACACTTGTCTTGAACTCCTAATCCTGTGTCAGCCTCTGTTCTGCTGGGATTAAAGGTATGGACCACCACACCCAAGTCTGTGTGTTCTCTTTTTATTTTTTTTGAAATGGGGCCTCATGTTTTTGAGATTAGCCTAGAACTCAGTATATAGTGCAAGCTGGGCTTGAACTTGTGCCAGTCCTGCCTCAGCCTCCCAATTTCTGAACAGATGTGTACTACCATGCATGGCTTTAAAGTGGACCTTCTTTTTTAGTGATGAAGATCAAGCCCAGAGCCTCACACAGTGTATCTAGCCAGTAGCACAGTAGAATTTTCCAGAGGGGGGAATAAGGCTGAATGAGGAGCAAAGTGCACAGTGTCACATACTGGACACTGTGAAGGCCACGTGTAATTTTAGAAAGAGTAGTATGGCTGAATATCATGATCTTTGAACAGTTGGTGTAGAAAGAGTTGTTTGTTTGTTTGTTTGTTTGTTTGTTTGTTTTGAGACAGGGTCTCCCTATAGCCGCAGCTGGCCTGGAATTCACTGTGTAGACCAGGCTGACCTTGAACTCACAAAGACCTGCCTGCCTCTGCCTCCTGAGTGCTGGGGACTAAAGACATACGCCACCATGCCTGGCACAAAAGATTATTTTTTAAATGAACAAATCTAATCTGTGCCCTCTGCTCAGCTTTCCTGTTCTGTTTTACTCCAGGCAGCAAGTAGTTACAGTACTGTGGCTGTCTTGTCTCCAGCAGCATGCCCAAGTCCTTATAGAGGATGATGGCCTCTCCACCTTCCCAGAAAGCTTCCAAAAAGAAAGAATGATAGATATTCATTGTACTAGTTTCCTACTGATGCTTTTACAAATTACCAGAAATTTAGTGGCCTTGATAATAACACACGTGTTTGCTCAGAAGTCCCAACACAGTGACTGGGTTGGTTCTCTGCTGAATTAGTTTCTTGGAAGCTGAAATGAAAATGCAGAGTGAGCTAAGTTCTTGTCTAAAGGTTCTAGAGGAGGGAATGTGTTTAAAGCTCAGTAATGTTGACAGAATTCAGTTCTTGTCTGGTTGTGGGAGTGTGGGTCCTTGTCTCCGCTGGCAGGCAGTTGTTGCCGATAGCCCTTATCACCTGTCCTCCAGCTCCATTTGCCTCCTCTCTAGCTGGGTGTGGTGGCGCACACCTTTAATCCCAGAACTCGGGAGGCAGAGCCAGGTGGATCTCTGTGAGTTCAAGGCCAGCCTGGTCTACATAGTGAGTTCCAGACTAGCTGGGGCTACAGGGAGACCCTGTCTCAAAAAGACAAAAAATAAAATGAAATAAAACCAACTTTCTTGATAGAAGCCTCTATTTAAGAAGATGTGAACTAAATCTATGGTTCAGAAAAAAAGCTCTTGGATGATAAGACACAGAGATGATGATAGAATCTTCTAGAATTGCAATCAGTCTGAGAATGCTGGACCCATTAGATCTATTTATTTATTTATTTATCCATTTATTTATTTTTGAGACAAGGTTTTACTATGTATACCAGGCGCTGATCTCAAGCTCACAGAGATCCACCTACCCCTGCCTCCCAAGTGCTGAAATTAAAGGCATGTGCCAATATACCCGGCCAGATTTATTCATTTAAAAAATAATCATTTTTCCAGCTTTTAGAAGATTGTGTTATTAAATCATGTTTTTTCTGGAATTAGATGTAGTCCTCATATAGTATATGATTGATTCCTTCAGTGCTATTTTGTGAACATTCTTCTGAGACTTTAAAAAATCTAATGAGGACTGTCGAGATGGCTCAGTGGTAAGGGCACCTATCACTGACTTGATCCCTGGGACCCACATGTGGAAGGGGAACAGTGACTCCTGCAAATTGTCCTTTCACACACACACACACACACACACAAACACAGTCAGATGCACAAACACACAGACACCCCATATATACACACCACCTACCCCCACATAAGGTCTCATGACCTTAACAGAAATGAAGAGGAAGGCTGGTGGAAAGAAGAGGTTCTTGAGGACTTTGAAGTTAGCATGAACAGTAGCAAAATGGATTTACATTTACATTGACATAAATGGGTTAGGGGAAAGTGTCCATACAGATAGATGAAGAGAATACTCTTTGCTGATCACTTGGGGGAAAGAAAGAAGGGAAATACAGATCCCTGTGTCACCAAACACTGCCTCCATGTCATTGAGAGGACTCATAGTAATGAGTTAGGAACCAGGGAACACAGTATGTCAGACATTTGAGAATCAAGTGAATGACTTGGGCAGAGGCTGGTGGGCCCCTATGCCTTGCCAACTCTGTGTTATGGCAGACCCAGTTTCTCAACCCTGGAATTTACATCAGCTCTTTCAGTTCTGCAACCAGGGTGCAGCCCTTAGCGCTGGGTGTTGCTTCCTTGCCTCACCATTGGGCCTCTCCTGTCTCAGGGCAGGATATTTTATCTCAAGTCTCTTAGTGGTAATAGTGCTTTCATAATATGGAAATGATACATCATCTTACATACGATTTTATTGCAGCCAGGCCTCAGACTTGACTTTTCCTCTGACTAAAGGCCTCCCTATCATCCTGACTCAGTTCTCACACCAGAGTTTCATCAAGGCTGCAGGAGAGGAGAATGGAAGAGCAGGGGTGGAGTAATGGAGTGGGTTGAGGAAGAAAAGCAAGCAGAGCCAGTCTGGCCTTGTGTGAGCTTTATCTGGTGGAGATGCCATAGAACCCCCCACCATGTGATAGACAGGAGGCCCTCTGGAATTCAAGGCAAGTGTGTATCACTGAGCATATCCCAGCCCTTCATTAGTGCCCTTCTTGACCCTTCTCTAGCCTGTTGCCTGGAACAGAGGGTGACAACCCCCATTACTGTCAGCAGGAGCACTTGTCTGGTGGGGTGACCGGCAGAACTTCTTGACTGTCCAGCCCACACTGCCTTGGTCCAATGACTGCTTTTAATGGGGCCCTCTGGAGATACTCTACCTGTGTCCACTGGGAAGAGGAGGGGGAGGGAAGAGGAGGAGAAGGGGAGAGAGTAAGGAAGGTAGGGAAGGAGGAAGGAAGAGAGAGAGCAAGCTAAATTGCAGTACCCTTGGAGGATGGTGCTGGTGCTGGCCAGACTGTCCATGGCTCTCATCACTGTTGAAGTTGAAGGCCTTGGGGCCCTGGTTTCTTCCTAAGCAGTATACTTTGTTTCTCCTGGATCATCTCTTTCCTTGTAATAGTAGCAAGTCTCCTTAGATCTGCTTCCCTCTGTTACCTCTGAATAGTGGCAGGAGGTAACAGGTCTGGAACTGTAACCCTGACAGGTCTGGAACTTGCTATATAGACCAGGCTGGCTTTGAATTCATAGAGATCCACCTGCCACTGCCTCTGGAGTGCTGTAATTAAAGGCTCATGCCACCATGCCTTTTAAAAGATAGATTTCAGGGCCTATGAAATAGTTCAGCAAGTAGAGGTGCTAGCATGCAGGCCTGACAACCTCAGTCCCATGGGTAATAGGAGAAAACTGACTCCCGAGAGCGGTCCTCTGATTTCCACATACAGTTGCCTGTGTGCATATGTGCGCGCGCGCGCACACACACACACACACACACACACACACCAGTCCTCTGATTTCCACATACAGTTGCCTGTGTGCATATGTGCGCATGCGCGCGCGCGCACACACACACACACACACACACACACACACACACACACACACACCATTAAATAAATAAAGATTTCAGTGTGAGTTTCCTAAAGCCTTAGGTTTTGGGTCATGACCGGAAAGACTGGCAAAGGATAAGAGGGCTGTCCACACTGAGGAGGTGTGAGCAGAGTTTAAGAGCCCAGGCCCATGGAGGGACCATGGAGAGGAGTCTGGGAAGGTGTCTGAGATTGTGACAGTGGGTGACTTTGCCTTTACTTTTGTTTCCTGCCACAGATCCTATGGCGAGGGAGAGGGCACACACACACACACACACACACACACACACTCACGCGTGCACACACTTACCTTCTAAAGTCAATAAGCACTTCCCCAGGAACACAACCACTCTGCTCCTAGGTATTTACCCAAGCGAAATGCAAACACCTTATGACAAGCTGTTGTAGTTTGATCTGTGTTGCTGTAATAAATACTATGACCAAAACCAATTTAGGGGAGGAAAGGGTTTCTTCCATTTTACACTCCCAGGTCACAGTCCATTGCTGAGGGAAGTCAGGGCAGGAACCTCAGAGGAATGCTGCCTGCTGCCTTGCTCTCCCTCTGGCTTTCTTCCTGGTAGCTTTCCTATACAGCCCAGGCCTACCTGCCATGGGGTGGTGCCTCCCACAGCAGCCATCAGTCTGTGAAGACGGTTCCTCACAGACATGTCCACAGGTCATGGAGGCAATTCTTCTGTAGAGGTTCCCTCTTCCCAGATGACTGGGTTGTGGCAAGTTGACAATAAAAACTAACCAGAGCAACAGCTTGCTTCTTTGTGTATTTATTTATTATTTATGTGTGTGTGCTTGTGAGTGTGTGCACGTGCACGGCAGCTTTATTTAACATTCAGCAGGAGAATGGACAGATTTTAGCTGTCCATACAGTGAACTCTAGTCTGCTGAGAGGTAGAAAATGCAATCAAACAAATTGCTGAGCTACACAGAAGGTGGGAAGGCTTCAAAACTCCATTCTGAGCTAAGGAGGTGCAGGCCACACACTGCCAGATTCCTTCTATATGAAGTCTGGAGGAGGTGAATATAATACTGAAGAAATCAGAGCAGCAGTGGTTGCCCCGGGCCAAGAAGGGGCATGAGTGCTGTGGGCTGTGGGCAAGTTCAGCATCCCGGTAGGGGCTTTACATTCCAGTGTCAGTCGTTGGCAGACTCAGGAAGCCTACATCGGAGACATGCGTATTTCACTCTACAAAACTGCATCTTGGCTCTTTTGAAAGTTTATTGTTGGAATTGCATTGTACACAAATGTGATTTCTTATTTCTGCTTTTGTCTCTGAGGTTGTTAGCACGAAGTCACTACTTTGTTTTGAAGCATGCCCCTGCTTGTTAGGGCACTGACCTCTGGCTACAGCCTGCTGGCCCTTCCACTCCTTTCTCAGAATCCCCGTGTCTTGTCCTCATATGCAAACAGCTCCAGCCTGTCCTTAGCAGACCCTGAAGGCTAGCCTTCTCATTTCAACACAGCTGATAAGATCAAGACTTAAGAACTATGTGGTATCATGGAAGGGTTTGAACTGAAAGGTTGTGTTCTGTGTAGCCTTAAACCAGGCCCCTAAGCCTCAGTTTTCTTTTCTGTAAGGTGGGAATAATCACCTCTTTTGCAGTAGTTGTCAGAATAAAAAGCCAGCTTGGGTTGGATAACCCCCCTGAGCTTGGCACAGGGGGTGTAAGGACACAGCAGCTGGCCCTGCTGTGGCCTCTACACGTGCAGCTGTTGTTCCCCAGCTTCTGGGCAGAGCCACCTGCTGAGCTCTGGGCCCCTTGTTGAGAGCGGAAGTGGGGAATCCACTGGCCCCCAACTCTTCTTTCTATATTTTTAGGGTGTCAGCATGGAGGCTGTGAGTGAGAATAAAATGACATCCTCTGAGTTCAGCACTGGACCTACGGAGAAAGCCGCCAAACCCCTGCCATTTAAGGATCCCAACTTTGTGGTGAGCATCTAAGGCATTAATCAAATGCAGTGGTGAACAGCTTCACCTCAGTCTCTGATCCTGCTGGGCTGCAGCTGAGGTGACTGTGGAGTCCCCTGCTCCCTGGGGTCCCAGTCGCCTCCTTCTCCATGGGCTGTTGAAGAGGGAGGCACGGCCTCTTTATTCCCAGTGTGCCAGCCCCTGAGGGCTGAGGCCTCTGCAAAATTCAGATAGAGTAGATACATTTTTTTTTTTTTTTTTTGCTTTTGAGATAGGGTTTTATTGTGTAGCCCTGGCTGGCCTGGAACTCGTAGTGTAGTCCAGGCTGGCTTCAAACTCACAGAGCTCTGCTTGCCTCTGCGTCTGGAGTGCTGGGATCAAAGGTGCCTGGTTTGAAGTAGAGCTTTTAGGGCTGGTCTTTTCTGTAGTGACTGATTCCCTGCCCTTCTATTGGTCTTCATGAATTTTAGGCGAGGCTTAAAATAGGAGCACACCTCCTTAATTTCTTAAGTTATGTGTAAAGTAGACCAGGGTCTTTCCATTTCGTTTTGTCATCTTTATACAACAACAACAAAAACTTCCAGAAGGCTTGCCATGCCATGATTGAAGCTTATTTAGTTTTCAGGAACACTAGTAATTACAAGGTGGAGAGAGGTGCCCTCAGAAGGGAGTTGAAGATGTCATTGTGAGAGTGAATCTGACTTAAACTTATTTTAAAGGGATGAAGTCATGGGTGAGTTTGGCAAAGCTAGACGTAGTAAAGGATTTGCTTTCCCATGTGCATTGAGAGCATAGCCTTTCGCTTCTGCTCCATCACCAGCTGGCTGGTGGGTTTGGGAAGCCCCCAGCTAAGCCCTTCTTGTTTGCTTATTTTTGGTTTTCTGAGACAGGGTTTCATGTAGCCTAGGCTGGCCTCAAATTCAGTATGTAGCTGAGGATGGACTTGTCTCCTGATCCTCCTGCCTTCAGTCCATGTGTGTCACCATGCATGGCTGAGAGCTCTGTTCTTTAAACAAAGATTAAAGTGTGCGGACAGTAAGGCACTTTTTCAAAGGTCTCAGCAGTACAAATAATAACAGCCCTGACTGAGCATTGCTGTCACAGTCTCGGGTTACCGTGGTGACTGTCTTCTCACCCTCCCTTTCTTTCCAGCACTCGGGCCTCGGTGGTGCAGTAGCCGGCAGGAAGAGCAGAGCCTGGAAGACCCTCAAACAAATCCTGGCTGCTGAAAGGGCGTTGCCGTGGCAACTGAACGATCCTAACTGTGAGCTGTCTAGAGCCTTCTGTGTGTTTATAACTCTCTTACAACCAGCCTACGTTATTTGATCATGTTTGCATTATCATGGGAAACTGTTTGCAGCTTGAGAGTTTTTCAGTGGCATCTGCCCAGGGATATTATGCGTGTATTTCCTCCTGAGTTTGTCTGTGTTAATCTGTTTGTTTGTGTTGTCACGGGTGTGTAGGTTTTAGTGTCGTTATTAAAATTTCAGTCAGGAGAAACAGGTTCTAATATGATAGAGTTGATGTTTCTTTTAGACAAACTTCTTATTTAGAAGTCTACTCTTAAAATTTGTTTTCAAGAACAAGGTAACCCAGCTATAGTATGAGATTAGGAGGGTTTCCGACAAGCAGCCTTGTTAAGGACCACTCTGCCTGTAGTGTGTCCAGGTCTGAAAGCCCTGCTGGGTGCTCTGCTCAACCTCATGGAAAGCTTAGGGTCCCAGATCCTCCACCTCCTGTTCTGCTGTGCATCTCTCATGGGGATGACTCAGGCGGTGACAAGTTAGTCATCAGGGTGTGGCGCTGGAGTCTGGGTGTGCAGATCCAGTCAGTGGCTCTTGCCTTTCGTCACCACCAGCCCATGTTAGCTGGAGACTGAGCTAACTCTGGGCAGATAGACCTGGCCATTCTGCTGGGCTTGACGGCCCCTGGTGGCAGGACCAGAGTCCAGGCCTGCACTTACTGTGACGTATTGTGACTTCTAAGACACCTCCCTTATTTCTCTAGTTAATTTCTGGAGGGTTTTGTGAGTATGTAATCACATTTCAGGAATGGTTATTAAATGTTATTTTAGAAAAAAAGAAGGAATTAGAATATTTTAAGGGTAATTTGGTCGTCTTTCTTTTTCCTAGACTTCAGTATTGATGCTCCTCCATCCTTTAAGCCAGCCAAGAAGTACTCTGATGTTTCAGGTCTTCTTGTGAGTATAATTACACTTTCTTCGTGTTAAAGTTATGATTCTGTGGTGATGTTGATCTAGGCAGTGTGCAGTGTCGGCCACCAGTGTCCTGCCTGGTACTGGGACACTGTGTGCGGGTGGCAGGCTCTTCCAAGGAGTTCCTGCTGCAGCCGAGGTGTCTGTGGAGGTGACCTGGAGAGGTGATTGCTCCAGAAAACAAGACCCACCGATTTCACTCCCTTTTCCTCTGCTAATTAACTATCTGAGACAACATAAACAAACTTTTGAAAAAACCTCTTAAAGTTTTAAAATACTGCATTTTAAATGATCACAAGGAAAAATGACACTAGGAAAAACTGTTCTCGTCCGGTGACGGAGCTCAGTGGTAGGGCACCTGCCGAGCATGCTCAAGACGCTGGATTGGATCTCCAGTGTCAGAGTAAAGTCTTGACCAAGGCACCGTAATAAAGATGGTGAATTTTAAACTCTAAGCCTTTTCACACACATATCTACAAGTGCTGGAGCCCTCTGCCTGTGTGGTGTGTGTGGATCTGGTCCTTTCTCCTCCCGACCACAGCACAGCACCACAGGTGCTTCCAGGGAGCAGTTTGGAGGCACTGGCAGGGCTCGGGGAGTGGGACTGAGGCAAGTGCGAAGGCCCAAGCGCTGAGGAGAGCCTGCCGTCATCATGCAGTAGAGAGTAGGTTAGGCACCTGTATGGGGTATCCAGTTCACACCGTGCTTTCCCATGAAAAGTGAAAAGTGGGGTTTTCTCCTAATTACAGCAGTGATGACGCATACTGCTTTTCTTGGGGGAGGGGGCAATTGAGACAGGGTCTCCCTGTAGCCCCAGATGGCCTGGAACTCTCTATGTAGACCAGGCTAACCTGGATTTCTACCTGCCTCTGCTGGGATCAGAGGTGTGCCCTGCCTCGCCTGGCTAACATACAATTTTTTTAAATTATTTTAATTTTATATGTAGGAGCGTATTGCCTGCATGTATGTAAGTGCACCCGTATTGTATAATGCCCTTGGAGGTCAGAGGAGGGTGTCAGATCCCCTGGAACTGGAGTTATAGACGGTTGTTACCTGCCATGTGGGTGCTGGAATTAGAACCTAGGTCTTCTGGAAGAACAGCCAGTGCTCTTAACCGATGAGCTGTCTCTCCAGCCCCCTAACATACTAATTTTTAAACTTATATAATTTAAGTACTTTGCAGTTCTCATGAGGATGTCTGACTCCAACTTTTGTGACCAACTGGCCAAATTCTATGAATTATGCAAAGGAGAATTGACTCCCTCGTCACACATAATCCCCTCTTTTCTCTTGGTAGTTTGCATCATTCTGAGTTGTACTTCTGTCTGAATGCGCATGTTAGGGTTTGGATGTTTCTTCCCTTGGTGATGCCTGTGCCGTGAGGCTGGGACTGGATGCGATGTTGTTGAGTAAGAGGCCTTTAAGAGGTGGGCTTGGTGAATTAATGCTATTTCTTGGACATGGGTCATGCTTGGGTCGGGTCCCATAGGGATGAATTAGCTTCTGCAAGAAGGGGCTGTCATCAAAAGACCTTCTTTTTCTCCCTCTCCAGTGCTTGGCCTGTTCTCTTTCTGCTGTGTTGAAATGCAGGGCTGATGGAGTTGCTGGGATGCTGGCGCTGTGCTGTTCGGACCTTCCAACTGCCACACTGAGAGTGAAGGAAGCTTCTGCTTCTCTTCATAAACTGCCCTTTTTTTTTGTTTGTTTGGTCTTTTTTGAGACAGGGTCTCCCTTTATTCCCCAGCTGGCCTGGAACTCACTATGTAGACCAGGCTGACCTTGAACTCACAGAGGTCCGACTGCCTCTGACTCCTGAGTGCTGGGATTAAAGGCGTGTGCCACCATGCCAGCGTTTTGGTTTTTGTAAGCAGCAGCCCAGAATGGCCTGGAACACTGCTGTGGCCTGTTTTTGTGCCTCCTGAGTGCTGGGATTAAAGGCGTGTGCCACCATGTAAGCAGCAGCCCAGAATGGCCTGGAACACTGCTGTGGCCTGTTTTTGTGCAGGTGTGCATGGCACATCTTTCCTGAGCTTTTTACCTTTATCTGTATCTTTTCATCCAAAGTGAATTTCTTGTAGAAAGGTTATTATTGGGTCTTGCTTTTTACCCAGTCTGAGAGGCTGACTTTCAGCTCTTACCTCTAGGTTATTCGAATTTCCAGTCACTGCTAGTCTGGCTGAATTTAAATGTCCTTTCTCACTCACGGTTTTCTTTTGTTCCGTTTGTGCTTCTTATTTCTTGTTGTGGTCTCCTATCAATCTAATTGTGCATTGTTCTAAAAAAGACTTTAGAACAGTTTTACATTTATGGTAAAACTCAAGATACTCTAGTCTCTCATATCCCAGATTCACTTTCTCCTATTAGTAACATCCAAGGTGTATTTGTTATGATTAGTGAGCCAATAGAGATATAGTTGTTATCATTATTATTCAGAGTTCCTTAGGTTTCCTTAGTTTGGGGCCCAGGATGTAGCTTGGCAATGGAGCTTTGCCTCACATGCATAAGGCCATGTGCTTGATTCTCAGTACTGAAAAGAAGAGTTGAGAAGAAGAAAGAGAAGGAGGGAGGGAGGGGAGGGGAGGGGAAGGAAGGAAGGAAGGAAGGAAGGAAGGAAGGAAGGAAGAAGGGGGGAGGGAGAGAGGGACGGGAGGGAGGGGAAGGAAGGAAGGAAGAAGGGGGGAGGGAGAGAGGGACGGGAGGGAGGGGAAGGAAGGAAGGAAGAAGGGGGGAGGGAGAGAGGGACGGGAGGGAGGGGAAGGAAGGAAGGAAGAAGGGGGGAGGGAGAGAGGGACGGGAGGGAGGGGAAGGAAGGAAGGAAGAAGGGGGGAGGGAGAGAGGGACGGGAGGGAGGGGAAGGAAGGAAGGAAGGAAAGAAAGATGGCTCAGTAGTTAAGAGCACTGGCTGCTCTTGCAGAGGACATGGGTTCAAGTCCCAGCATCCACATGGCAGCTAACATCTATCCATAACTCCAGTTCCAGGGGAATTTGATGCCCTCTTCTGACCTCCACCGGCATTGCATGACACGGGTGCACTTACACACAAGTAGGCAATATACTCACACACATAAAAGTAATGAATAAAATATTTTAGAAAGAGAGAGAGTTCCTTAGTTCTGCCCAGTGCCCTCTGTGCAGGACCTGTGTGGGCTACTGTGTCCTGTTTAGTTGTTAAGCCTCCTTGGGCTTCTCTTGGCTGGGGCTGTTTCTCAGGTTTTCCTTGTTTTTAATGACTTATCACGTCTTTGTTTTGTTTTGAGACGGGGCCTTGCTACGCTGCCGTAGCTGGTCTTAGATGCCTGAACTCAAGTGATCCTCCTGCCCCAGACTCCCAGTGGCAAGGATTAAAGGCATTTCCGCCACAGCCGGCTGACCTTGTCACTTAACAAGTGCTTGTCAGATACTTTGGTAGAATGCTCACCTGTTGAAATGTGAGTCATGCTTTCCCCATGAGAATGTTGCATTAACTGGACATCTAAATTGTATTTAAGCCAGGCATGGTGGTACATGTCTTTAATCCCAGCACTCAGGAGGCAGAGGCAGGGGGTCTCTCAGTTCAAGGCCAGCCTGATCTACATAGCAAGTTCCAGGGCAGCCAAGGTTACATAGTGAGACTCTGTCTCAAAATGCTTTTTCCTCTTTTTAAAGTCTGAATGGTTGGCCTCCTCTTCTCAGTACATCCAGTAGTAATGTGAGTTTATTAATTAATGAGTACCCTGTGGCAGCGCCTGCTCTCTTCTGCTCTTTGTAATATCCTTTACTGCCGTATGAGCTACAGCACAAGTCGATTGTCACTAACTTTTGCTCGAGCTGTCCCTTAGAGAGATAAAGTCATGGGGAAAGGAGTTTTATCTTCACTAGACTTGTTCTGGTTCAGTCTAGTTCTGCTCCTTCTGCTGGCACACCCTCCGGGCTCACTCTGCATTCTCCTTTCTGGGCTTGCAGTGTGTGCCATTTCTTGTCAGTCGCCCACAAGTAGGTGTGTCACACACTTTGCTTGTCTCAGTACTTGTTTGCAGCAGAACTGATCTGGCACCAGGGACTGTTGTGTCCCCTGGGTCATTTTGAGCATTTGGAAGCCATGTGTGTGGCCAGGCTGGGAGGGTGGCCCCTTGGAAAGTCCACTTTCTCCTCATGGCAGACAGCTCAGCAGCTGGTAGAGTGGTTTTCCCATTAGGTGACATGACAACCGTTTTGAAAAACACCACTCCAGGCCTCTATGCCATCAGCAGAGATCTCGCCACCTAGATAAGAATTGCCTAAAGCCTCTTGCCCTGTTGCATGTCAGGATAAGAAATTCAGAACATTCAAAGAACTCCACCAAAACACTGAAGGACAGTCCCTCAGAAAAAATGGCAAAAAGCAGGGCAATTGCTGAGGAAGTACAGGTGACCAGTAAGCACACCGGTACTTAAACACAAAACAGAACTCACCAAGGACTAAAGACATTGGGCTACATGTTTCAGCCACAGCACAAGGAAGTTGTGTGTTCATATGCTGCTGTGTGGATGGGAAGGGGCATTGAAATGACCTCGAAGGACAACTTGGCACACTCTTGAGACACAAAGGCCTATGACCTGGCAGCTTGCTCTCTAGGCAGTCCCTAGAGAAACAGGCTGAGCAAGGAGCTTCAGGAAGCAGGACTTCTGAGAGACTGTTAGCAAAGGGATGGAACCCTGCTCAGGTCTGGCACTGGGACATGTTCACACTGTTCTATGAGCTGTGGATGAAGTTCTAGGATATATTCAGAAGATGCAAAGCAGTGGAACCATGGTGTGCTGGATGCTTTAGTGTCAACTTGACACACCTGGGTTGAGGGAGCCTCAATTGGGGAATTTCCTCCACAGGACTGGCCTATGGCCATGTCTGTGGGGCATCTTCTTGATTGTTGAGTGATGTGGGAGGGCCTAGCCCACTGTGGGTGGTGGTGGTGCCATCCCTGGGCAGGTGGGCCTGTGTTGCATAAGAAAGCAGGCTGAGCAGGGGCCAGGAGAGCAAGCCAGTAAGCAAAGTTCCTCCATGGCCTGTGCTCGAGCTCCTGCCTCGAGGTTCCTGCCCTGAGTTCCTACCTTGGGCTCCCTGTTGAGCTGTGACCTGGGAGGTGTAAGATAAAATAAACTCTTTCCTCCCCAAGTTGGTATTGGTCAGAGTATTTTGTCACAGCAATGAAGAAACAAACTAGGATACATTGCAAGGTCTCTCTCTCTCTCTTTCTCACTCTCTTTTTCTGTCACTCATACACACAGATACATACATATACACACAATATTCACACATTCATACATATACACACATATATATACCCAGAGACACACATATGCACACATACACATATACACACACTCATACGTACACACACATACATACCCAGAGACACACATATATGCGCACATACACATATACACACACATACAACACATACACACATTCACACACACTCATACATATTCACACACACATATATATATACATAGACACATGCATACTCAACACATATGCACATATTCACACACAGACACAGACACACCCAGACATACACATATACATACGTACACACAGACACACTCATACATACGTACACACACATACACACACACAAACATACACAACTTTCTCTCATGGGTTTGTGTAAGGTTATAAATGGTGAAAGTCTGGAAGGGTGCCCACCGATCAGTGATCAGTGTCTTCCTTGGGAAGCAAAGGACGTTTAGGTAGAAGGTGGTGGTGGTAGAGGAGACTTCTGTTTCATACTTAATTAAAAAAAAAAATTTTATATGTCCTAGTGCTCTGCTTACAATGTAAGTGCACTGTGTGAATGCTGTCCCCACTGAGGCCAGAAAACGGGTGTCGGATTCCCTGGAACTAGAGTTAGGGACGGTTGTCATCTGCCATATGGGTGCTAGGAATTGAGCTCAGGTCCTCTGCAAGAGCAGCAAGTGCTCTTAACCACTGAGCCATCTCTCTAGCCTCATACATAATGTTTTGAATTTATTTTTTAGATGACAGCACATTTCATCTTTTACTTGTAAAACATAAAGTTGCAAAATTTCAAAAGCTCAGCTCATGCTATGTTTACCCTGACACATCTGTCCCAATCAGCCACGTGACTGGTTCCCTGGTGCTTGTATGCCGCAGGAAAGCAAGCCCTCAGGGCCACATCTGCATTAGGCCCTGTTAGAAAGCTGTAAGCTGAGTGGCTCTGGAGACCCATAGGGGAGCCGAGAACAAGGACTTTCACCTCTGCCTATCATCTTGAACCCCAGGGGGCCCAAAGCTGCTCTCTGGGTTCCCCATGGGAAGTCAGCCTTTTTCTTTCCTCCAGATTGCAGAGACAGACTCCAGAGGAAGGCATGCTGTGGAAAGGAGGTTCTTTCCTTGTTCAGCTTGGGGATATGTTTGGCCCACGCTGGTCTGTTCAGAAGGCTGCATGCTCGCTCCTAGGTCAGGTCCAGTTTATTCCAGTTTTTGTTGGTGCCACAGAGCTCTGTATTCTGCTTTGTGCAGCAGCCTTCCTGGCCGTGAGGTTTGAGCTCGGTGGTTCATAGGTTCATACAAAGAGGTCAGATAATCCAATTCATGTGGCTGTGAAACATGAGGGTGGCCTGCCCCTGCCAGATAGTTTGCCTAAGTGCCATAGGGCCAAAAGCCCTTCAGAGACTTGTTAGCATTTAAGCCACCATATTATTACGATCATCAAAGGAAACATGATTCACACAGCATCTCCCAGCACATCTCCCATCCTCCCACTCTTATATTTCTTTCTGCCCCTGTTCCCTGAGACTTGGAGGGCTTGACAGAGATGTCCTGTTTAGGAGCGGGTGGGAGAGACGTCCTGTTGGAGGCCGCGCTCTCCACAGTCTCGTATTCTGATCACTTTGAGTAGTTAGAGTCTCTGCAGAAGTGGGAGTTTGAAGTCAGGGAAGTGTGACCATGATGGATGCAGTCTTGGGCCGGCTGCTGGGCCCTCAAAATGCCAAGAAGATTCCCAGGGTCTGATGGGGCTGCTTCCTCTTCTTGCCAGCTGTACCCTGGAGTGTTCCTCAAGTCTGGGAAGATGAAACTTTGCCAGAGTGAGCAATTTAGTGTTCTTGAGGACAGCAAAACAAGATGCATTTCACACTGAGTCAAGTAAAAAAGATTTAAGCACGTACTTTATTGCCACCAACAGCTTTCCGCCCTTCCTTCCTTCCTTCCGTCTTTCTCACCTAGGCCAACTATACGGACCCCCAGAGCAAGCTGCGGTTCAGCACCAGTGAGGAGTTTTCCTACATTCGGAGACTGCCATCTGACGTGGTCACGGGCTACCTGGCTCTAAGAAAGGCCACAAGCATTGTTCCCTGAGCCTGGGAAGTGGAGAGGAAGTGGAAACGGCCTCAAAGGCAGACTTTGAATTCGTGGTTTTGTTTCATGAAAACAAACTCACTCTGCTGTTAGTCTGAAAAATGTCGTTTCTGCGCCTTGGAAGGAATGCCTGGCTTTACTGTGAGGCTTTTCCCGTTTTCCCGCCAAGTGTGAGATTTTTCCCGTTTTCCCTCCAAGTGTGAGATTTTTCCCGTTTTCCCTCCAGGTGTGATATTTCTGGTTGAGTTAAGTTACACTTTAGTTGTTGCTTCAAGTAAAATTGCTTGACGAGAAAATATAGTAAAATTATGCATTTAATTTAACTCAGGTAAGTCCCTGAATTTCTGTTCTGAGTTGTGAGCTCTCATCCAACATTTAAAGACTCTACAGTTAATCCATATGGGGCTGGATTGTTCTGGAACCCAGCAAGCATGCTGGCCTTTCTCCTCCAGGACCAGGCATTGCCTTGCACCCCAACTTCGCCTTGTGTCTGGGAGTGTGGGAATGGACACTGCCACTTGCTCCATCGAGGAATCTTGTCTGGGTTCAGGATGTGCCCTCACCTGCTACAGAAAGTTGCTGTTTGCCCCTCACCCCACCCTGAGAAGGCATGTGGAGACACCAGTTTTCTGTGTTAGTTACTGTTCTCATTCCAGTGAACAAGTTCCTGGTCAGAAGCAACTCAAGAAGGAAAGGTTATTTCGGCTCAGAGTTTGAGTGCATCATGGCAGGAAGGGCATGACTGCAGCCCTGTGAGGTGCTTGTCACACTGTATCCGTGGTCAGGGAGCAGAGAGGAATTTTAGTGCTCAGCTTGCTTTCTTAGTTTTATTCAGTCTGAACCTGTAGAGAGGACTGGCCCCAGGGATTCTGGGCCAGAGCTGCCTGTCTTGAAGATTATCACCCAGATGCCTTTTGAGTGTACGTTAGGGTTGGGGTGTGGGGAGTCCCTTCAACAACCCTCTCCAGGTTTAGAGAAAAGGAAAACACTAAGCTGAGTAGCTGGTGAGCACCCTATGGACCAGGGACAGCTATGCAGAGCCTGGCTTCCCTCCCCCCAGGAGCAGCATTCCAGGGCCCTTTAGCACCTACCCTGTCTCTAGCAATCATAGCGGAAGGGCAGGCAGGGTGCTGTGTAGTTCCCCATCCCAAGGGACCTGCTCTGCTAACCAGAAGAGTAGGAAGGCATTCCTAAGCCCCTAGTCATCAGAGCACTGAAGACTGGTACCAGCATCTCAAACTTGAGTGAGCATTAGCATCACCTGAGCGCTGACACTGGAGATCCACCTCGAATGCCTGATGACAGGGTGGTCCAGGGCAGGCTGAGAATTTATATTTCTAATGGGATCCTCCAGGAAGTTGACTCTGCAGCTAAAATGGAAGATACCAGAAAGACCGGAGGCTATGGCTCAGTTCCCACCCTGGCTCATGTGCTTCTTACCAGAAGGCATCTTGGGAAAATCTCCAGCTATCTTGTCAGGAGAAACAAGGAAATGGTAAGCCTAGGGCCTTTCCTGCTCAGCGTCATCCTCCTACTATGCAGAGAAAACTGGGGGTAGCCTTTTTTTTCCTTTAAAGAATCCCTCCCCCCTATATATGGCATGGCTGTCCAGCAGTGAAGCTGCCTCAGACCTGTTCAGACTCTCCAAGGTCACGCTGGCCCTGTCTCCATCCTGCATCCACCCTCCAGGGAGAGCCTGTACAGGCTCTTGCTCCCACCGCCTCCCTTCCTAGGCTGTGTTCCTCTATGAGTCACCTAGCCACCTGCTAAAGAAGGCTCCTGTGCCACACTGAAGTTACCGACCTAGTAGGACCCAGTAATGTGCCTTTGCCTCCCATCCCAGCATGACCCCAATGTGCACAGGCATCTGAGAGCTTTTGGCCACCTCAGGCAGAAGACAAGTGCCTGGCTGCACACCCCCTCTCTTCCTGAGCCCTTGAACGCCTCTTCAGTTTCAAACAAGTGAGTAATCAATCCTGTGCTGACACAGCTCTTGCCTGACCTGCCACTTGTTCTCAGCCCCAGCTGCATGCAGGAATCACCTCTGGGGTGGGGGGAGGAGGCTCCGAAACAGCCAGCGATTTCTGAGTTTGTTTCAATAGCCAGCTTTATTAAGGTATAGTTTAGACAGGGTGACATTCACCAACTTTAAGTTAAAACGCAATGAATTTTGAAAAATGTGTACAATCAAATCCCTGTTACAATCAACATGAAAATTACCCATCGCCACATACTGTGGGAGCTGAGTTTTCTCTTTTTCTTTCTTTTATTTTTATTTATTTTTTAATATTTTTATTATTTTTATTTTATGTGTATGCGTGTATTGCCTGCATATAGGTAAGTGCACCCCTGCCGTGCAATGCCCGCAGAGGACAGAAGAGGCAGTTAGAGCCCCTGGAACGGGAATTACAGACAGTTGTTAGCTGCCATGTGGGTGCTGGGATCCAAACCCAGATCTACTGCAAGAACAACCAGTGTTCTTAACCACTGAGCCATCTCTTCAGCCCCTTTTCTTTTATTTTTAAATCAAAGCTGGAGTTTACGAGAAAAGGTTTTAATAGAGATTTAAGCAAGGGCATTACGGATGAGAGGAGAGAGATTTTAAAAGGCCAGTTGTGCACACCCAAGGGCTGGGTGTGGACTTCTCCAGAGCACTGGCAGTCCAACATCTCCATCATCCAATTGTAATGAAACACAAGCCAAGGACCTCTGTGCTTCAGGCATACCTCACAATCTCACCTAATTTGTTGCTAGCTAATTAAGCCACTTTTTTCTGGTTGGAAAACAAGATTCCGTTTCAACTGTGCAGAGCAGAAGCCTGGCTGTGGTAGGATTTTTCTGTTTGTTTTGTTTGTTTCTTGGCAGGATCTCCCTAGTCCGAGCTCATCTGAAACTCTGTAGACAAGGCTGGCCTAGATCTCAGAGATCCACCTGCCTCTGCGTTCCAGGGACTCGGATTAAAGGCGTACGTCTGGCATGCCGTGGTAGTTTTTAAACTCTTCGGATGACTGTACTACACAGCTAGTGCCTGGAGCAGTGATGTAACTACAGAGTATCTCACATGAACACATTGTCTGTTTCAAGATCAACCAGCTCTTTCTGTCCCAAGGTCATAGACGGTTAAGGAGTTCAGAGTGTGTTTCATTACCATAGTGGAATAAATTCAAGGAGTTTATTTAGGTCACAGTCTGGAGACAGAAGGACCATGCTGGTGGCTCAGCTCTGGTGAGGGCCCGTGGCTGCATCACACAGTGGCTGCAATACATCTGAGAGGCGGATCACATTAGAAACAGGAGGCGGGGGCTGGAGATGTTGCTCAGTAGTAGAGTGCTTGTGTGTGCCGTGCAGAAGGCCCTGGGTTTGACCGCCAACACTGCAAAAACAAACGAACAAAAATGGTGAAAGAAAAACAAAGAAAACAAAACCACGAAACCAGAGAGACTGGGATGGCTCAGCCCCTTCCAGACACCTAGCCTAAGAAAAATAAGGACCGCCCACCAGGCCCCACCTCCTAAGGGACCATCTCCCCATCACAACACTAAGGACCAAGCTCCCAAAACATGAGCCTTTGGGGACAAACAACATCCTTTTTTAAGGTATCCCACACTAAAGTCAGAAACATGAACATCATGCAGACTCCTCTTCTGTCTTTACCCCCACACTCAGCCTCAGGGTTTCTCCCTCACCCCTCACACTGCCCCTCCTGTTCTGCTTGGCCCTGATCCAGTCTGACCCCACAGTACCTCATCCCCTTCCTGGATGTTGCCTGGGTCCTAACTGCTTCTGATACTCCACGACCCCTCTACTCTACTGTGCTGTCAGGGACCCTTTGAAACTGACTGACTTTTCCCTTCACGGCTTGTCTGTTGGCAGTTTGTCACTGTCATCTGGAGTATTGAGGCATTGGTGCCCAGGGTCCAAAGGATCAACCCAGTTCTTAAAAGGAAGAGTAATTCTTGGGGCTGGAGAGATGGCTTAGCAGTTAAGAGCACTGACTGCTCTTGCAGAGGACCCAGGTTCGATTCCCAGCACCCACATGGCAGCTATGAACTGTCTTTAACTCCAGTTCCAGGGGAATCCAAAGCACTCTTCTGACCTCCGAGACATTGCACAACACGGGTGCACTCACATACATGCAGGCAATATACTCATACACATAAAATATTTTAAAAAAAAAAGAAAAAGTAATTTTCTGGGTTTAAGAAATCATATTTTCTTTCTTATTTTAACTTTTTGGGTTTTGTTGTTGTTTTTGAGATAGGGTCTCACTGTATAGCCCTGATTGGCCTAGAACTTGCTATGTAGACCAGGCTGGCCTCAATTTCACACAGATCCTCCTACCTCTGCCTCTGAGCCACCATGTGGTGCTGAGTACTGAACCTGGGTCCTCTGGAAGAGAAGCAAATGCTCTTAACCACTGAGCCACCTCTCCGGCACCTAAATGTGTTTTGAAGCTGATACAGCACCTAACAGAGGGTTAGAAGTATCTTCCATGACAAATCTATTTTCTGAACCCATGACTCTTGGGAAGAGATAGCAGATTTTTGCTGTTACCAGTGATTTTATCTGTGCGGTGGGAGGAAACTGTAAAAGGGTAAGGAAAGAAACCGAGGTGGAATAGAACCTGGCCCGTCACCAAATAGAGCAGGTGCTTTGGGGAGCAGTTACAGTGGTGCCTTCTTAACATCAAACAGTGTTATTTACGATGGTGTTCTTATCTGAGTCTTAGCTAAGAGAATGTGTCACCTTGTTTGGATCTCAGTTCTTAAAAAACAAAGTTTTTTTTCCTTTTTTAAAAAATACATTTTTATTTATTTATTTACTTATTTATTTATTTATTTATTTATTTATTTCACCTACTTCCCAGAGGGCACCCTCCCATAGCCTCCCTCCACCCACTAGAGCCCTATACACTATCATCCCTGCTACTGTCTGCTGTGTTGTTGGCACCCCCAGCCATTCCTCACTACTTGCCCTTCTGGTGAATCTAGTCAGCCTTTCTAGAGATCTTTGTTTTAGGAGGGTCAGCTGTTTCTCATCTAGCGGTAATCAGTTGTCAGTATTCCTTTGGATAAGATTGGGGTCTGCTGTTCAATTTCCCAGTTCTATGCTGGGTTACTATCTGGGAATCCCTTTGGCCAAGTATTTTTGAAAAATTGGAAACTTGATAGATTTTGATATTTGAAGACATTTAGGAATTCTTATGGGTACTTTAGTGGGGCTGTTGGAATTGTAATGTTAAAGGAAAGGGTTCATACTTTACAGACACGCTGAAGAATTTATGGACGAATGATAGGATGTTTGAGATCTCTTTTAGGATGTG